CCTGTCATCCCTGCAAACTGATTTGCATGTGCATAAGTCAGAAATATTACATAAGAAGACCTAATGAAAAGGATCCTGGATTCTAGTACTGCAGATGCTTCTGGGCTTAAAATTCCCCAAGTATTTTTGTTAAAGGCTTTGACATAATCCTGTCTGGCTTTACTGTGCGGAGAGTGGATCAAAGGTGCAGACATATTAGTCTCCTCTGAATTTCAGGCCTCCTGGGGATTAGTTTCCTAGGGATGTCCTAAAAGTTTTCCTCTAATACAAACACAATATCAGAGGAGCTGTTCACGTGGTCTGAGAGTTTCAATTCTCAGTTTATATAGGCACGCTTTAAAGAGTCAGTTCTTTTGAGTGCAGTGTACAGTACCTTAGGTTAAACTCCCTTGTATCATTACCAAATGTACATTATACTAAAAAAATTATCATGCTAGACAGAAAGGTTGTTTGAATTTCTTTAAGAGATAAAATGAAGATAAATCACATTCAAACATCTGTGATGCCTCCATTCATCCTTCAATGCCCACTAAAAAGTGCATCTATGAAATTTTGCATGGGCTGCTGGTTCTACTCTACAGATCAGCCATTACCATTGTTATGCACCAGTGGGGAAAGCAAACATACATAATATATGATAAAAAATGCACAGCAGATGAAAATAATAGAAAAACTATCAGAAAATAATGCTATGTACTTTCATAGTGAGATTTCTGCTCCAAATGTATATTCTAATGATACCATAAAAACTGTGCAAGTGGTTAGGAGAAAATTTCTCCTGGTTTTTGTTTTTAATACCACCATGCCAAGGAACTGTATACACAATTCACAGGCTGCACAGTAGGTTTCTGAAGTTAGGGTGGCAATCCATTTTCCTGAGTGTTCTCTTGTTAGGTGTGGGGTGTTTTGCCCCATGATTAGTCAATTTACAGTATTCTATATGGTTTACAGTTTATGACAGTTTTTTTCACAATCTACTGCACTTTTAGGATTTTGTTATAAGGAAATCACTGGGGAGATGTGGCCCAGATGTGAGCCTCATTTCTCCCCTTGATCATGTCACATTGACTTCATGATACTAGCTCTTTGAATAATTACTTGACAGGATAAATTAAGTTTTTACAGGCTATTAGAAACTATCCTTGGAAAGGTTTTTCTTAGAGAAAAAGCTTTAACTATCACACAAGCTGTCAATACAAGGCAGAAGATATTTTAAGCCTGAAAACAAGATGGTAAATGGTTATATCAATCATTATATCATGATATTATGATATCATTATCGATAGAGCCTTTTGATAATCTAACTAGAAAATAAACATAAGAGGTGCAATATAAAAAAAATGAACATATGACATGCGGCATACACACACTATTGATGTTGTAAAACTGTATAAAATCAATGTAAACGTGAAAATAAACCAGAAATTTTTTTGGGAGTGATGAATTAAACTTGAGGTAATTTGAAATGGAAATCTATATTACACTGGTATTATTTCTGTAATTCACTTCAGTTTGGATTTTTCTTCGCAAAGTATTACCATTTCAAATAAATACAAAGCTCTGAGTTTTGATTAGCTCTGTTCTCAAGATGGTCAACAAGGTTTTTGTGATGTTGTCAAGTGGGCAGTCCTTGGCTAGAGATGCTGTGAAAAAAACTTAATACTGGCATAAGATGAGAATATTTATCAGGAGGAGGGGGGCCATCAGCACTGGGCCAAGTGTTGAATATACTTTGGGAGAAAAAGGGTGGAAGAGCAGGGTCAGAAGGACAGCTGTGACCTTACCATGTCCCTGGGGTACCACCACCAGCACAGGTTGCTGGGGCAAGTGGCTGATGAGCCACATGAACCCTGTTGCAGTCTGCCTCTCCACAGGAACAGGAGTGGGAACTGGAGATTAACTCTGTCTTGGTAAAAGTTTCTTTTATTAATCTCTTCTTCCTCCTGAAGCAGATGGGAAGCCTATTGTTGACATTATTGAATACAAATACTTTGTCTGAAGCATGTCCTGGGAATATTTTTCTGTATATTCCCTTTTCTGTGCCCCAGAAATGTTAGAGTGTCTCACCAATGACCAAGGTTTTGTCAAGTGTAATTACTTAGGGTTTTTTTGAGGTGACATTTAGGAGACATCTTCCATGTCTTTCACTGCACAGTAAATGTGTCTGAGAGTCAGAAGTGTCACCACTTTTATTTGGTGAAATACAAAGGAGAAGAAGACACTTAGGTCTGCAACAATATTGTCTCTGTATTCACTTTCTTAGCAGAGTATATTTGTGACTTCAGTACTCAGTCCTTTGTTACAGCTAAAGATCATCTGAGCTTTTCTAACGATTTTTTTTCTGCTTAAAATTCTATTGTAATTTTTCTTCTTACAGAGACTAGAATCATGGATTTCATCACAGACCACTGTACAAATGATCTTCTTTACCCTATCCTGTATTATTAAAACCTCTTTCTAACAATGATGCACTGTATCTATTTGTCATACTGTCTCCATATTTGTCATACAAGTATTTTCTTTAGTATTTGCAATTTCCCACTTTTGCCAATTTCCCCAATATTTCTTATTTAGTGTTATTTCATTATTAGCCTGATTTTCAGTATTGCTTTCCCAGAAATGAATATATTTTTCTAATACATTTGATACTATTTTAATTCTTCCTTCTTGAAGATTCATACCTTATTTGGATTCATTGGTTTGATGAGAGTGCATGCATACTGAAGTTAAAAACAGACCTCTGAAGTACCAGAAATTTTTTTATTCTTGCCTATGCTGCTTAATATACATTTGTTCTTCTATAATTGCCATTTGTAATTACCTAACCCTCAACTTACAGAAATTGTCAGTTAATAATATCACAGTTCAATTATTTTTAAATACAGTAGGTGGCCTATAAATCTAGTGGGCTATAATTAATTCACTCAGTGCAATATTTGGATTGCCAGTGGACCATAAATCAGAAGTAAATAGCAGGGCAGTGAGTGAGGTGAGTGTGTGTATGTATGAAGGCAGAGCATCCACTGCTGGATGTGGCAGGACTCATTATATACAGTTCTTCCCAGCAAATAAATATATGAGCTGCCAGGAAGAGCTAAGGTGGACAGATAAGAGTACATTATCCCTCTGTGATTCCCACAGCTGCCTTCCTAATGTGTGAGCAATTATCTCTTGCAATCTACGTCTCAGGTTTATACAACAACACGAAGGTTATTGTTATGAGAGAACTACCAGGTCTATAGAATGCCTCTAGGTTTCCCTGGCAAGAGGCTGGTACACAAGGGATTGCTGGCCTGTGCTGTCCAGGGAGAACGAGGGGTTGATTTAGTAGCAGTAATGAGCTAGTTGGAGATGCAGGTGCAGAGGATGCTGAATGAACAGGTGCACAAACATGTACTCCCAACCCTTGATCCTTGGCCAGCAGTGAGTGCCTTTGCAGCATTTTGCAGGCCAAACCAGCACCAGCCAGGGAGCTCAGAATACCTACTGAAGGACTAAGGACTAGCCAGACCCAAGGCCAGTCTGTCCTGGTTGCCGAATTTGAGCATTCCTTTTCTGGCGGCCAGCGGCATGGAAATTATGTCATGAGTCTTGTATGGTGATACGTGTTGCATGTGGACACAATCACAGTGCAGGGTGCTACCCACTGTTGTTCAGATTGGTTTTTGCTTCCTTTAATCCAAGATATTTATGTTGTTCTGCTTGCTGCTGTATTATGGATCACCTGATCCTCAATCTGATAGACCTAGGTGTGTTTTGTGGCTTTCCTGGTGATGCTTGTAGGAAGTAATTCCACAGACCCTCAGTATATCTTTCCCAGCCACCACATATGGCTATAGAATAACCCAAACTATTGTTGTGACCTAGCCAGTCAAACAAGATAAATCTTTTGTCATTCTTCATTGGCACATAAATTTTTTCTGTGAGAACCTCAGCAAGAGAAAGGTACCAAGAGGTCAAATCACAAATTGCAGAGCAGCCTGCAAGGCTTAGGACTCTGAGTGTAAAAGCTATGATCGATTGCCTCATTTCTCTGTTGTCTCTTGCTGTAACAGAGAAAGACAAAAGGGTGGAAAATTTCCACTGTTTTTTTGATTGAATACATTTCTACATACGTTTCTAATATGTGTTATGTGATTTCAACTGTCACTAGGAAGTCAAGTAGGTGAGACCTTTTCAGTTAGAAATGTTAATGTAGTGGTTTCAAGAAGTTTATCTGCCTGCTACTGTCTTCTCCAGAAACGTCATTCAACACCCAAACTTTTGAGCAGGTTCAAACTGATGTCTTTTCCCCTCTGTCGCATTCTAACCTTCCACAGATTTATTTTCTTTCTTGAGCAAACACCTATATTTCTCCCTAAAGATGCAGTAGTCCTAGTGTCAGAAGACCAAGCAAGAGTCCTGGAAAACTGTCAAATTCCATTTATGTAAGATTTGCATTATCTGTAGATCTCAAGAAAAGGAAGAAGATATTTTCTATGACACTCATGATTCACTTCTAGCCCTAGAAGGGCCTGAGACAGAGAGTTATGAATGTGTGAGGCTGATATTCAAGCTGACGTTTAGAAGCATATACTCCAAAAAGCTGCTTTATGTAGCATGGCCTATTTTTGTGGCTTTCAGCACTGCTCTCTGTCTCCACAGATATGCCCAAGACATGATAACTATAAAGGGGATTGCTGTCACTCTGCTGTGGTTCCTCAACATAAGGGACCTAAGTGACAGGAGAGGTGCAATCCCTGCCAGCACCTGTAGAGTAAGAGAAGACAGGTGTCCATCCTGTGCTCTGGAGGCAAATCAGAGCAGGAACCTGACAAGAAACGAAATTTCTCTGATGGTCTCCAGGTTGTCCAAGTGGGAAACATATGTTCTGGCTATTTGTTTTTCAGATAGATTTCTCACTATATTGGTACATTTCTTTCCTTTTTCCAGTGTAGAGATGTCTGTAGACACACACACACACACACACACACACACACACACACACACACACATATATATATATATATATATATATATATATATATATATGCCTGTCTAAACACAGATGCATATTTATAGAGAATTTACAGAAAACATGGATGCATTGCTTTTTCAGAATGGATGTAACAGTAATGGTCACAAATCTTTGTTGACAAATATGATACACCAGACTCCATGGATTATATAAATAATGGCATACAATCCATCATTCTTTCCATTCATAAATCATGCTTTCTATAGCAACAAATATATTTTAAAAAGTGATAATTTCTTGTATTTTTTCATATTAATTAAGAAAGTTAATGTTACCTCTGCAACAAAACACACCCCAAATCTTTTAGGTCTCATTATGAGGTGTTTAGCATATTGTCATAGCAGTTCAGAAAGACTTTCCTTCCTAAGTGTACCTAACTTTCAGGACATGAATTAAAGTTCATAATGCAGGGATTTTTATGGACTGTCGTACCTGAAACATGCACAATGTTTCATTTATGAGAGAAATTTCTTCAGTGCAGTTAATCTGCTTGCTTGCTTTTATCAGAAACTAGATTAGATTGACAACTGTGTTTTTCCATAGAAGCTGAACTATTAGAAAATCTTGTTTTTAAAGAAAGTCATTTATCCTAACTTAAAATGAAGAAACATAATCCCTCAAAACTCTTCCCAAGTTTCTTGATATGTAATATTTTAACAAAAGGTGATCTTTAACCAAGAATGATTGTAGCAAAATAATGTAAGAGATGCATTTTTCCTTTACATCAGAAAATAGCATATTTGTTATTATTTTTCCTGTTTACAGCCCATTTCAAGATGTTATATTGAAAATCAGACAGCATTAGTGTGAATAAACCAAACACATTCAACTGTGTCAAACAGAGATCTTTCTTCAAAATTACATTTTGGCAAAATCACCTTCTATAGTTTGCAGCTTCATGTTTAAAGGAATGTAGAAACCAAGCTAGTTTAGAAGGGGGAAGACCAGTAATCTACCTTGTCCAACCTTTGGCTTTTGTGCCATATATCTATTTTTTTCTGCTCACAGTAGGTTTTCTATCAATGCTTTTAATTAAATCTATGGTATTGACTTTTTTATTTCTTCTTGAAAAAGGATATGTTCTTGGAAATCTTGATAGGACTTGTTTTGCCACTAGATCTGGTATATTCCTGGGGTCACATGTGGGCTTTCTGGTTTGCTTGTAATTAGCCCCTATTTGGCTGATCACTAGCACTTCTTTTAGAGGAGTCTCATTCAGTTTCTATTTTGCATCTTCCTAGCTTTTGATGTACAAACAGGCAGGACACCAGCATTATTTTTGTGTTAGTTATAACACATGAAATATGGTTATAACAGATCAGATGAGTTACCCAGTGATCTGCTCCCACAAAAGGCCACTTTCAGACATTTTGGAGATGAGTTTAAAGATTTACATTCACGTGTGATGAATGCATGCAAAACAACTTCTTTAAAGAAGTTAAACCAAGGGAGGGAATCGCTGGCTGCTGTCCTGCACACTCAGAGTTAATGTCCTCTAGGTTGTTTTAAATCAGTGTAAAGCTCACCTTGAGCCATCTTTACCCCAACAGAGACACAGATCCTGAAATATTTCAGTGCCTTATCCAATGCTGAATATTCTTTAAGAATATGGATTAAGTGGAGTATGATTGCAGTGAGAGCCCCATCTGGTACCAATGCACTGACATAAATGCATAAGTGCATGCTGTTATAGCAGGGGATGAGCATCTCCTATCCCCCAGGACACATGTTTCCATGAAAGCATATGCAAGGATAAACTCATAGTGACATGGGCTTGACTTTCCTCAATGCCCTGGGTGGCTGGGGATGGAGTTATCGAGCATAAATATCCAGTGTACATCAGGCTTGGGTCACCTTTTTGCCCCAGTGAGAAGTGAAGGAGGGCTCAGCCATGGCCTTTTTGTGGGCAGCTCAAATTGTGGCTGCCCCTGCCTGGAAGCCCCAGATACCTAGCCCTAATTTGGGAGTGAACTAGCACCCTCTAATCTAATTCTCCTTTTTTCCTTCTGTTCCCTGTTATGTCAAGATCCTACTTCCAGAAGCCAAAGTGTTCCCAAAACACCTGGAATATGACCCAAAAGTTAAGTGTCCCCTGAATGAGAACCAGAAAACTCCTCCATAAACCAATTTATTCTTTGGGAGCAGGCATCCAGAAAAACATCCACCCTTCCTCCTAGATATCACATACAAGTATATTTATCCTCCCAGACAGAGATACCCAGTTAATCTGCTCATCCATGCAGATAATAATGAAGAACTAAAAGAGACTCAATAAATAAGGGTCCAGATCCTCCTTGTGTATAATCTGGGCTCATTCTTTTTAGACCAAGAGGGTGACAAATGTTTATGCTGAGAGACTGGTCTGTAAGGAGGTGCAGCAATATACTCCCTGTGGGCTTATGGTCAGAGAATTGCACATATATGTTAGCAGTATCTTCCCTTTTGGGCATGACTGGATTTATTATAATAAAGTATCTCTTGGGCAGTGTAAAAAAGGGAAGCAGTAGTAGTGTGCCCCTATTAAACAACCATATTCTATTATTGTTGTTATATTGTCTGAATATTGTCTTTCATGAATGTGTCCACAAGATTTTTTTTGCTTGTTTGAAGTACTTTTATCAAAAGGTTTTATACTGGCTCTGGAAATGTTTTTTTTGTGAATGTTTTTTCCCTAAGAAGTGAGATCTCCATTAAATACAACATAAAAATTGTATTTTTGAGTTGGATAAAAGCCATTTTCATAGGGAAGAAACATTTCCTTATAAAGACATGCCACAATCTGATTCATCATTTGCTTTTGTAGTTTAAGCAACAAAAGACTTTTCTGAATAGTTTTTTCCTCCCTTTTTCTGGTTAAGTATGATTTGCAAAATTGAATCTTTCAGGTGCATAATTTTCAGAATACCTTCTTAGTATTTTGAGTTCAGGTCTGCCTTTTGTTTCAGGTTTTGATTTCCTCTTATTATTGTTACCACTCTTATTGTCACTGAAAGGGTGTGTTGTGCCCAGTGCTTAGGAATGAAAAAGGTTAAATATCTTACAAGCGGAGGACCAGATTTTCTTGGCTTTTTCTTTAAACTGGTATATTTTTTATCCCTCTTGGGATAACGCTTTTTCAAACTGAATGTAATATTTTAGTGGTGTATTTTACATGGTGTTTTGCAGGTGAACACCATCTCTCCGTGCTGGCGCTCTGGGCCAGCTGGATACTGCTCAGCTGCTCCTGGTGGGCACAGCCCTTGGCCTAAGCTCAGCACCATCCAGCTGAGAGGTGGGATTTGGGCTGGTGCACAGCAGGCACAGCCTTGGATGTCTCTATGGATTTGGGCTAAGGCTCAGCACACAAAGCTGTGCCCACCTCAGCCTGCCCCTGGCTGCACCAATGTACCCACGGTCAGACTTGTGGGAGGGGGTGTGGTTGGTGACCTCCCTGCTTTACCATGGGAGGCCACAGATGTGTAGTTTCCCGCCTCCCGAATTGTCAGTTATCTGTTCTCCCTTCCCCCAGTTCATGTCAATCACTTTGTACTCCTTCCCTTGGTTCTAGAAAGTTCTCAGTTCTTTGTACCCCCATTGGTTCTTCTCCCGAGGCCACTCCTTCCCTCTTTCCCAGTTGGCCGTTGTCGTGTCACTCCTGCTTGACTCCACCCTCATACCCTCACCCGGTTGGATGCTCTGTACCCTGACCCTCCTTCCCTGCAACAGTTATATACCCTGCCCCGCCCCTGGTTCGGGGCTCTCAGAGCTGGCTCGCCCTCTGAGTGGCTGCGTCCCTTCATCTCCCTTGCCTTCCCTCACCTAAGCCCTCAGAATAAAGCCGCCTGAGAGACTCTCGCCCGGTGGAAGACTCCTTTCTTTACTACCACCATCGCGTGCCCGAAGTCCCCGACCCAGTCGGAGTGTCCGGGTCACGCGATAACTGGCGCCCGAACACGCTGACCCCTGCACGGAGTCAAGCGGAGAGCGTCTCCTCAGCAGCTTCGACTCCGTGAGCCGGCTGTTCGAGGAATCAAAGCCCCGTTCGGACCTGGTTCCACGGACGACTGTGCTTCGTTGTCTGAAGATCCTTCGCCTCGTGGGCTGCGGACAACCGGAGGAGCAGGAACAGCAGCTTCGTGGAAGCTCCCTCGCACTCCGGACCTGCAGCGCTTCCACCCCCCATTGAGGTCATCTTCTTTTCGACGGGCGTCCCTGTGGTGAGTTTTTCGTACCCCGTCTGGCACCCGACCCCATCTCTTTTCTTTTCTGTTTTCCTTTGCCTCTCTGGGGAATTTTTAGCCGAACAGACATAATGGGCAACCGTATGTCTCCGGCTCGGCGGGATTTTTACTCCCATGTTAAATCATCCCTTGTTTTGGGAAACATTTCTTTTAACAAACGAGATTTAAAAGCCTTAATTAACTTAATTTTTGACCACCTTCCTGACACTGCTGAGGAAGATTTTAACTTAGTTCCGTTTTGGGGAAAAGTTGGGCGTTTATTATACGATGTACAAGTTAAGTGGAATTTTAAAGTGGGACGTTTCTTTCCTTTATTTCATTCTATTTTTACGTTATTTAAACAAAAACGGGAGAGTTGGGCCTCCAGTTTTCCTAACCCTCATTCCGTCCCCCCCACTCCTAACCCTCTTTCCCCTAAGGGTGGGTCGGGCGGCAGACCCTGCCAAAGTTCGGCACAGGGTTGCCACCGTCTCCCTGCTGCTCCCTGTCCCATCCTGTCCTCTTTTCGGCCTGGGACTGGCCACCCCAGCTCGACCCTTTCCTCGCCCCAAGACCCTCAGACCCCTGTTCCCAGTTTAAAACCTTGCTGTTCAATTCCAAATCTGTGCCAGCATCCACCACAAAATGGCGCCGGCCACATGACCGAGCTGGCATCAGAAGCGCCACAAAATGGCGTCCCAGCTCCTCCCTACTCCCCTCGGGTTCCCGCCACTTCCCCATTGACCCCTCCTCCGTCGAGTGCCGCCCCTGCGTTGGGTCCCGCCCCATCTGATGCGTCGATGGTGTCATCGGCGGGACCCGCACCTTCCGTCCCCTTGACCGCGCCCCTGGGTGAGCCCTCGGTGGGAGGGACCGGCCTACAGGAAGGCCACGCCCCTGTGGGGGGGAACCCCTTGCCGGAAGGCCCCGCCCCGGGAGGTGGGCCTAGCCCCGCCTCCCCCTCCCCAGCCACTTCCGGTCCCCACGCTACCGGAACCGGAAGTCGGCCTGGCCAGAAGCAGGCCATCTTGGCCTGCAAGGCTCAGCGCTACCGGAGCCCAACGGCCAGGGAGAGGTTCAAGGCCCTCACCTGTCCTGCCTCATCCTCCGAAGAGGATGAGGACAGTGACAGCCCCCGGCCCACACCTAGGTCGGGAGGCGGGTGGGCCAAGATCAGGGCGGCGGCGATTGAGGACGGGGACTTAGACCTGGCGCGTGATCTCGGGTCGTTCGTGGCACCGGTGGTCAGGGAGAGGGGAAAGCGGCCCCGGTGGGAACAAATACCATATGCTGAAGTAAAGGAGCTGAGGAAAGCGGCCAAAGATTATGGCCGCGAATCGCCATTTTTTAAGAACGTATTAGACTTGACATTCTCTGGACGGACATTAGTTCAACATGACATCAAATACATTGCCAAGTCCCTGTTGTCCCCCACGGAACTCTTGCTATGGGAGGTTCAGTGGAAAAAGCTGCTGAAACCTCTCATCATAAAGCACAATCTAGCAGAGACCCTGGGCACAGGCGACGAGGTAATGGAGGCTATTGCGGGAGATGGAGAATTCGGCCAGCCAGAGGATCAGATCCAGCTACCAATACCACTCCTCGACAACATCAGAGAGGCTGGCCATGCCGCACTGCTGAAAATCCCAGACGGCAAAACTCCCTCCCAAAGCTTTTCGACAATTTTGCAAGGACCTGACGAATCTTTTATTAAGTTCGTGGACCGCCTCAGAGAGGCCATCGATAAGCAGATAGAGCACCCTGCGGCAAGGGAAGAGCTCCTCCGCAAAATGGCAATGACCAACGCCTCGGCGGAGACAAAGAAGATCCTGAGGGCGTTACCGCAGGACCCCGAGCCCACCATCACCCAGATGGTGGAGGCGTGCATCAAGGCGACATCCACCGAGGTAACGGTTGCCATGGCAGTGAGCAAAGGGGTGGGGGAGGCAATGTTGAACTTGAACACGACGCGCTGCTTCGGGTGTGGCCAGATGGGCCACATACAAGCGAACTGTCCACACTGGCCCCCGGAGCAGTTTTACCACCCGTATATGCCTTCCCCAAGACCCCCACACAGGAACTCTTTCCCGCCATACCAGCCGGCGGGAAACGGGCCGCGGAGCGCGAGGAGGGGCCCTTCTCAGCGCCTGAGCCTCCCTACTATCTGGGAGGAACAATGGCCCAGGGGACAGTTTCGGAGGATTGGCGGAGCACCGACGACGGACTTCGCCTCCTCCAAAGAACGGCCAACTTAGATCCCAGCCGCCACCAGGTCCTCAGAAGCTCCATGACTGTCACCTTCCAGGATGAGGACCTGGTGAGAATCCCCGCGGGGTTCCTGGAGCCCCCTCACTGCCAAGGCGAAGCGACCGTCCTCATCGTCGGCGACGCAAGGCACACACCGGACAGGATCTCCATCATCCCTGAAGTGGTGTGTGTCCCGCTGGGGTCCGAAGTAACGGTCTCGGTCATTTGCCATGAGCCCCCTTACACCTTGGGCAGAGGACTCCCCTTCGCCTTGCTCTATCTGCTGGACTCGGACAGCCTCTCTGGACGGGACCTGGAACAGGACATTCATGTGTTTCTAACTCAAAATGTGACCAAAGAAAGACCAGTAATCAGAACTGTGCTCTCTTTACAGGGAAAGTCGGTGGCGATGAACCTGATGGCAGACACTGGGGCGGATGTCACCATCATTCCCAGGTCAAAGTGGCCCCGCGACTGGGAGTTGGTGCCCCCTTGTGGCACAATCTCCGGAGTGGGCGGAGCTGTCAATTCCATGCGTAGCCGACGCTTGGTAAGTGTGGAGGGTCCAGAGGGACAAATAGCCACAATTCGACCTTTCGTGGTTTCCTCAAACATCATGTTACTAGGCAGGGACGTATTGTCCCAGTGGGGTGCCCGCCTTGACATCCCTAGCCCTGCGTGGGATTTTTAGTGTGGGCCACTGCGGAGTGCACCTCCCCACCGTTGAATTGGAAGACCGATGTTCCGGTGTGGGTGGATCAGTGGCCCCTTGTGGAGGAGAAATTAAATGCGCTCAACGAACTTGTAGAGGAGCAGGTGCGCCTTGGGCATTTAATACCCTCCACCAGCCCTTGGAACACCCCTGTCTTTGTGATTAAAAAACCTGGCAAAGACAAGTGGCGCCTGCTCCAGGACCTCCGCAGGGTCAATGATGTCATCGAGGACATGGGCCCCCTCCAGCCTGGGCTTCCCTCACCCTCCATGCTTCCCCGGGATTGGCAGCTCGCAGTCATTGATATCAAGGACTGCTTTTTTAACATCCCCTTGTATCCTGGAGATGCCCCCAGGTTCGCCTTTTCCGTACCATCGATCAATCGGGCGGAACCTTACAAAAGGTATCAATGGACCACCTTGCCCCAGGGAATGAAAAATTCTCCAGTGCTCTGCCAAACCTTTGTAGCACAGGTTCTTTCGCCAGTCCGCCAACTTTTCCCTGAAGCCGTCATCTTGCACTACATGGACGATGTCCTTGTCTGCGCGGAGACGACCACCTACCTCCGCGCAGCACTCAATAAGACAATCAAAGCCATCAAGGACGCGGGTTTCCAGATTGCGGAGGACAAGATCCAGCTCTCCGCCCCATGGAAGTACTTGGGCATCACCATCACGGGAAGGACTGTCGCGCCCCAGTCTGTCACCATCAAAGACGACCCACGGACCCTGCGGGATCTGCAGCAGATATGCGGTACCATCACGTGGATCCGACCTCTCCTGGGACTCACCACGGAGGAGCTGGCGCCCCTCTTCGAACTCCTGAGAGGAGACGGCGACCTGGCTTCTCCACGCGAGCTGACACCTGCCGCAAAGGGAGCCCTGGAGAGAGTTGCGGAGGCCATCAGATCCCGCCAGGCGCACCGTGTGGACCGAGTCCTTCCCATCACCCTTGCCATCTTGGGTAAGTGCCCAAACTTCCATGGGTTGCTGTTTCAGTGGGATGCAGGCCGGAAGGACCCACTCCTTATCATAGAGTGGCTGTTCCTTCCGCACCAACCCCCAAAAACCATCTCCACACCCGCAGAATTGATGGCCAAACTTATCATTAAAGGCAGACAACGCCTCCGAACCCTTGCAGGGTGCGATCCGGCATGCATTTATGTCCCTTTAAATTTGGAACAATTGGAGTCTCTTCTGCAAACAAATGAAAATTTACAAATTTCTCTAGACAGCTATCCTGGCCAGATTTCAATACACTATCCTAAACATAAACTGTTTAAGGATACCTTCTATTTGGCCCCAAAATCCTACAAAAGCAAAACACCTATTAAAGATGCTCTCACAGTGTTCACTGATGGATCGGGAAAATCCCACAAATCAGTGATCACGTGGAAGGACCCGGAGAGTCAGAAGTGGGAGTCTGACATCCAAATCGTTGAGGGTTCCCCCCAGATCGCAGAACTTGCTGCGGTCGTGAGAGCATTCAAAAAATTTCAACAGCCTTTTAATCTGGTCACTGATTCGGCGTATGTGGCTGGGATAGCAGAGCGAGCGGAACACGCGATGCTCAAAGAAATTCAAAACAAAAAATTGTTCGGGTTGCTCACGGAATTAATTTGGCTGATCTCCCACCGCGAGCAATCCTATCACATAATGCACGTCCGGGCGCACACATATCTGCCAGGAGCCATCGCAGAGGGTAACCGGAGAGCGGATCATTTAGCTATGGCGACTGTCGCCACAACCTCTTCTGTGTACTCAATTTCCAACACCATCCCAGACATTTTTGCTCAAGCAAGGCTCAGCCATGCGTTTTTTCACCAGAACGCTCCTGCCCTTGCAAGGCAGTTCAAAATTTCCAAAGAGCAGGCCAAAGCCATCCTCGCCACTTGCCCCAGCTGTCAGTCCCTCGCCCTTCCACCAGTGGCATCAGGGGTTAACCCCCGGGGACTGGGAGCATTGGAGCTGTGGCAGATGGATGTGACACATTACAACTCTTTTGGCCGCCTTAAGTACATCCATGTATCAATCGACACCTTCTCCGGCGCAATCTTCGCCTCTCTCCATACGGGGGAGAAGACAAAGGACGCCAAAAAACACCTATACATGGCATTCGCGACACTGGGAGTCCCGAAGGCAATTAAGACCGATAACGGCCCGGGACTCACCTCAAAATAATTTGAACAGTTCTTGCAGCAATGGGGCATCAAACATACCACCGGCATTCCTCACAATCCCACAGGGCAGGCCATAGTGGAGCGCTCCCACAAAGAACTCAAAAGATTGCTCGATCAACAACATGACGCGGCGTTGGCGATGACTCCGGTCGAGCGCCTTTGTAAAGCACTTTACGTGCCCAATTTCTTGAATTGCACCGACCGGGAGCCAGACCCGCCCGTCATCAGGCACTTTACAAACGCCACTCGAGCACTTTTGAAGGAGCACCCACCGGTCCTTGTCCAGGACCCGGAATCCCGAGCCATCACAGGGCCCTTTCCCTTAATAACCTGGGGGAGAGGGTATGCCTGTGTTTCAACAGCTTATGGACCAAAGTGGATTCCGGGGAAATACGTGAAGCCATTCCTAGAAGATGCCCCAGCTGCAGAACCAACAACGCAACAGGACCCGCAGACTGCGTCTCCCACAACACCGGACGACGCAGTCGCGTGGAGAAGACGCAAGAAGAAGAGGACCGGGAGCCGTCCCAACTTGGTGTCCCGAGTCCTCATCACCAGACTGTACCACCCACCGGACTCGACATCTCAAAATACCCCATCCCCTCCAGTTGCCTTCCCCTTACCCCCTTACCTTACCCGCTTTCCCTATACCCCTGTGCCCTAAATTGTTTCCTTTTTAACCCAAAAGGGGGAGCTGGGAGGGGAGGGAACCAAAGCTTTTCTGTTATTTACGTTTTCTCTTGTGTTAATAGAATAAGGATGGCTGCCCACATGTCACCGATCCGGGAGAAATACCAGAAACCGCCCCACTGCGCCCAGCTGGCCGTCGCCGTGGCCTTTGTCATCTTGTGGCTGCAAGCGGCGGACGGTTGGATCGTTCAGCAGCCGAAGGAGAATGTGTGGGTCACGCTCGCCAAGTCCTTGCAGCAGGACAATCTGTGTTTGGCCATGGGCAGTGTGGACAATCCCCTGTCCACATGCCTGGTGGGGGTTCCCCTGGTTGCCGACGATTGGCCAGTTTTCAACTCCGACCTACTCCGAACCACGGGTAAGAGACCTAACCCGGTCGACACTTGGGACGAATGGACCAAAATTCTGTCAAACAGTAAAGAGGAACCCCAAGAATTGGACTTGCTGGGGTCCTCTCACGCAGAATACTGCATCAAATTTTATTATAGGAGGCCAAGTCAGAATTGGCATGGACTTGACTTGGCCAAGAACACGTACAGAAAGGATGTAACACCTCTAAGCAAAAAATACAACAGTCAAACCTGGTGCAATTACACCAGCCAGGTCATTTCGGTCTCGTCCACGCGTCCTAAGGTGTTGCCCAAGGGGATGTTTCTTATCTGTGGGGACAGAGTATGGTCAGGCATTCCATCTCAGCTCCAGGGAGGACCGTGTAGCCTTGGCAAACTTGCTACCCTAACTCCAAATAAAACCCAAATTCTAGAATGGAGGAAGGAAAAACAATTGGCTCGTAAAAAACGATCCTATAACCAATTCGACTCAAATTGTGATTCGCAGCTTTACAATTGGGGCAAAACCAAGAGAATCGCTGCATCCATATTCCTTCCGTGGTATGCAGCGGCAAAGGCCCTTGGTGAGCTTTCTCACCTGGAGTGTTGGGTCAACAAGAATGCCAACGCTACGTCTGCCGCCCTCTCAGACCTCTTGGCAGACGAACAGACCACCAGGCATGCAACCCTACAAAATCGGGCTGCTATAGACTTCCTACTCTTAGCCCATGACCACAGCTGCGAGGACTTTGACGGGTTGTGTTGCTTCAACCTGTCATCGAGAAGCAAATCCATCCAGGCCCACATCAAACAAATAAGAGAGCAAGTGAAAGATCTAAAAACTGAAAACCCCTCGGCTGCTGACCCAGTGGACAAGACGTTCTCGCAGTGGGGCATCCCCGGATGGGCAGCCCCCATCGTTAAAGGACTCATTTGGATTTTAGTTATCATTTTTCTTATTTTTGTTGCGTTAGCTATTTTTAAACATTATTTAGTTAAGACTTTTGGGACTGCTTTTTTAGTTAATAAAGACGGGGGAGATGTGGGAGGGGGTGTGGTTGGTGACCTCCCTGCTTTACCATGGGAGGCCACAGATGTGTAGTTTCCCGCCTCCCGAATTGTCAGTTATCTGTTCTCCCTTCCCCCAGTTCATGTCAATCACTTTGTACTCCTTCCCTTGGTTCTAGAAAGTTCTCAGTTCTTTGTACCCCCATTGGTTCTTCCCCCGAAACCACTCCTTCCCTCTTTCCCAGTTGGCCGTTGTCGTGTCACTCCTGCTTGACTCCACCCTCATACCCTCACCCGGTTGGATGCTCTGTACCCTGACCCTCCTTCCCTGCAACTGTTATAAACTCTGCCCCGCCCCTGGTTCGGGGCTCTCAGAGCTGGCTCGCCCTCTGAGTGGCTGCGTCCCTTCATCTCCCTTGCCTTCCCTCACCTAAGCCCTCAGAATAAAGCCGCCTGAGAGACTCTCGCCCAGTGGAAGACTCCTTTCTTTACTACCACCATCGCGTGCCCGAAGTCCCCGACCCAGTCGGAGTGTCCGGGTCACGCGATACAGACTGTGCCTAACCTGGGCAAAAATAGGTTCAGGTCTGCTTAAATGACAACCACGGTTTGGAAACAGATTTTGGAAGGCAGAGCCCCCAGTGTAAATTAAGTAGAAAAAACAGGTCCCTCTTGGCTTCCAGAGTGACCTGGAGAGGTATGTGATGCAGGAATCTTCACCACGGAGCACCCAGGTTTCCAGATCATGTCTTGCACTACTGGTGGTGAAGGCTTGTGAGAGTGAAGAGGAAAATGTGCTACTCTGCTCCTGAACTGCCCTGTCCCAGCTTTTTCCTGCAATTTAAGCATGATTCATTGCATATACAAATGAGAACCAATCATCTGGAGTTTTTTTTGCTTTCTGTGTTTGTCAAATTATATTGAAGACTGTTGGGTTCCCAGCAAGGTGAATGCCTTAAGGCCATAAGCCTTATTTACAGAGGAAAACCAGTGTCTTAGAGCACTGGAAAATACTCTGATCTTTGGGGTTTTTTTTAAAGGTAACTACCGACTAAGCAGGTGGACTTAATTTCAACTGTTTTAACAGATTTCTACAATGAACACCATGCTAATTATACAATAGTTATCCAGCATTAATGAAGTTATACAGACAATGAGATTTGCAACATTAACTTTTAATCTTGTTTTCTGTAATGATTTTTCTTCCCTAATGGAAACACATGCTTACCTAAGCAGTTTTTTTTGACCATTATTTTATAATTAAACTATTAATTCCACTTCTTGTAACTCCAGCCTGAGCAGGCATTAATATATCTGGAAAGAGTGGATGTATTCTTAAAGCTCTTTTAAATTTCTATCCTTGAATAATTTGTCTCTGATGCTTTTCTTAATTATAATTCATTCAGAATAAAAGAGGATGAATTTTTTCCCCTGAGCAAAGCCAGGATAAATTCTAACATATCTGCTCTATATAAAATTTCTTTTTCATTCTGCGAAAGTGAATACTGCATCCTAAAGTACTTCATTGTTCATTAGTGTACAATTAGGCCCATATCTACTGGTATGTGCTGCCTGCTTTGGGCCATTCTGGTGATGCAGAGCAGCTGTAAACTCAATTTAACAGCCTGGTTAATCCAGGTTTACAGCTGTTTTGTGTGGCTGTTGAGGAGTGTTGTGTCTGGGGTGTACTGGTAAATCTGGCCTGCTGAAAAAGAAGGAACTTGCATTATTATTTTATCACTTCTCAAACTCTCTCTGTCATAAAACAGCCTTTGCAAGTTTTCATTTGATAAGACCTTGTTCTCCACTTCATTGAATAGCTTTATCACATATTCTATTTAAAACAGAGGGAAAAAACATCATAAAACTAGAGTTTAAACAAGCAAGATATTAGAGAAATATATTTAGTAGAGAGCATGGTTAGGAAGTATTCCTAATTAAGGTAGAGAGATTATAATGACAGGGTGACTATATTATAACACGGAAAAAGAAGGACACCACCCTTCATACCCCCAGGTTTCCCCAGTCTCCTTGCAGAAAGCCTGTACTTTACCCTGGCAGCCTCAGCCCCCAGCTTGAAGGACAATCACAAGCAAACTTCTACTGATATTAACCAAGTTTTGTCCTTTCATGTTTCCCCTTCAATTCTTTATTCTTCTGTGCTTCATCAGGGCTTTGCCATGCTGTGCTCCTTGCACTTCTTGTCATGTCATTTACAGAATTTATTCTTCCTCTCACTCTCTTGTTGATTCTTCTGTTAGCAGTCAAATATGTCTGAGAAAAATATAAGTATACAAACTTAAATCCCAACCTGATTCAAAAATTCAAAAGCTTTTTCAGAATTAAATTACTTAAAATCAAAGTGAACTGGCAATATCAGCACATCTAGCTCAGGTTGATTTTGTTATCACTATGCCTTAGCTTCTTTAATGCCTATTTGTAATGTGGTTCTTGGTTTCCATTCCCTTCCATTCCCATTTCTGAGTTCAGTTGAAACTCTGGGGATTTGTCAGAGCATATCATCATAAATGCAAAACTCTGGTGCATGAGGGAGATGCAGATCAAACAAAAAGCACGGCTCATTGGGGAGAATAAAGAAGAGTATTTTCTGGTTGCAAGTGCTATAAGGCACAGTGTTGATCCAACTAGAAGCAGAAATTAATGCAAACATAAAGTATTTAATTTATATTATCATGATCATAAAATTTCATAAAAATTGATCTTTCCCTGGAGATATATCGATTTGCAGAGCCTCTGTTTTCCCTGCAGAAAATCTTTCCCTAACAGTTGTTGCCATCAGCCATGTTCATCCCTTTTATAAAGAACAAACATCTCTCAAACACAAGTCTTTTATTTCCCACTAAGTTAAAATAGTGAACTAAACCATGAAAATATTCAATGTTTTCTCTCTTCTACTATCCCGTTGTGCCCAAGCTTAAATAGTGATGGTGTGAACTGGGATAAAACCTATGGAATTCCATGCTTTACCCATGCATGCCAGTTCTAGTGGAAAGGACACTTCAGTGGGTTATCTCAAGTGGTGGAGTGTTGTAAAGTTAGATTAGACTGAATTCAGGCTCTCCTCCTGTTTCTCAGTGTGCAAACAGATGGAGGGGAAGAGAACCACTGCCTGTAAAAGAGACCTGCCTCCCCAAACCAGTGGGCACACAGCAGTGAGGACTGCAGGCACTGAGGAAAGAGGAGCTTTGTTTCCAGCAGATCAGACCAGAGCTGATGCTTTCTGAGAGATGGGCACTGCCCACCCGAGCTCCATCCACACTGCCAGGGGCACCAGCTGCTTGCATTTCTGGCTGTTTCTGATTCCATCACAGCCAGGGACCATGAATGGCTAAGGGAAGCAGAGGGGAAAAGCGAGCAAAATATCCTCATAAGCGTTTACAGTGTAAAAACCTAAAATGAATACTTCCATGCCTACCACCTTTTCCAGAGCTGATGGGCTGAAGGGCTAAGCAAAGCATCCTGTAGGGAAGTCTGAAAAGCATCCCCACTGGAACTAATGCTATCATGGCTTCCAAGGAGGTGATTTGGCAGCACCTCATGGTTTTATTCCTGAGCTGCCTTTAGAGATTCACCAGCTGCAGTACTATTACCATGTAGTTCTTCCACAGGCTAATAAAAATCATAACCATTTTCATCTCCAGAAATTACATTGCAATCAGTGTTGCTTCCAATGTCTTTTAACCTTGCCTACCCATTTTCTTTTAGTAGTAAAGGAACCATTATCTCTCTCTGTATCTCTACCAAATGCGTAACTACCTCTACTATTTTCTATCCTGCATTCTTTTCCATTACCTTTCTTTTTTTTTTTTTTTTTTTTCTTGATTAGGTGCCATCAAAGCACTAACATCTAGGCATAAAATAAGTGACAAAAGAAAATCTTCTCTGGACCCATATGTAAGTTTCATTGACAGCCATGTATTTGGTCTAAAACAAGGTGTTTTCTAAATTCAGTTTGACATAAATATCCACACATTTTTCCTCACACTGAGGAACCATTTGTCTAGTAGGTCTTAAGGGGAGGTTAATTCCTATCCTGCACTGTAATGCAAAGGGTACATTCCTGGTGAAGAATTTTGTAAAAAAAAGGAATACAAACAATGCTTTTACACTATGCAACAAATATTTGCTTCTTACATCTAAATGTCCTGTCCTGTTACAGACAAATCAGTCACTCACTGAAAAGCAGAGAGGAATTCTCTCTGTGACCATTCCAAACTGAGACACATACATTTGTACATTTGCCCATCAGAAATTCTACCTTATTATCCCTTTTTCCTGAATTCTCTGCAAAACACTATTGTGGAATTGTGTTATTATATGTTCTATTATGTATAAGGTCATTCCATGTATCCCCTCTCGATCTGTAACGACCCCCCGGGTTCTCCCATTTCCCCCCGCGGTTTACCTTAGTCACTCTGTTTACGTCTCTCAGACCATCTGTCAGCCACGCGGCAGGGTCGAGAGACGACCCGGCACCCTTCCATCTGTCCATCTCCCATTGGACCCCTGCACCCCACTATCCCTAGTCCCCCCGTGGCGTTATCTCATTGGCCGCCCCGGGTTTCCCCTATCGAGTACTTACAGAGCCGGTTGGGGACGCCCCGGTGCTTTTTCTCCCGCCTGGCCCCTGATCGCTGCTGCTGCCCGACCCGCGGGCTTTTCCTCCCGCCTGATTCCTGCGTGCCGCCGTGGGCTTTTTCTCCCGCCGGATTCCTGCGTGCTGCCGCGGCTCTCTCTCTCTCCCGGCCCCTGACTGCCGCAACCGCCGCCGCTGCCTCGGGCGATCGCGGCCGTCTCGGACTGCCCCGCGATCGCTGTCGCAACCTAACCGCCGCTGCCGCCGCTTCCGCGGTCGCTCCGGCTCCCGCACATGCCGGCCGCAGCGCCGCGGCTCTGCACACAGCCTCTCTTGGATCGCGGCCAGCTTCGGAGCGCGCCGCCCCGCCCCCGAATCAGCCAGGCGGCACGGACAAACTCGAACTTAGCACGCAGCAGTCCTTTCGGTTTTTGCCTTCCCAACCAAGCCGCAATAAACCGTGATATCGCCCGCGGGGGAAAAAGTCTCTCTCCTTTTATTCGCCTCGGGACTCGCCTCGCTCCCAAACCCACGCAGCACCGGCAGATACCCGCGAGGGTTCGCCGGAAAACATGGAAGTTTCCAGCGCTCCCCCCCCCACGGAGCTAGCTGGGACAAAAGGGGGGACAAGAGAGCGCTAAGGCACACTATGAACAAAAGAAAAACATCTAGACACCTGGCTGGAGAGCCTAGGTCCTTTTTCAACTTCATTTTATTTTTTCAAGTGTTTCTTCAGATCTGGTTTGAAATGGATCTGGTGGAGAAAGATGTGACTGCATCTGTCATGCTACCAAATAAATAGTCTCCCCAGACAGATTGAAAGAAGGATGGTTATTCCCAATAGTACTTTGAACAGTGCTGCAGGTGTG